TGGACATATTACAGTGCTTTTTTATTTTTATTATTATTATTTTCAAGGATAAAACCCTATGGAAATGTTAAATTTTTCAGGCAATATAGAGCAAAGAGGCTTACAGAGTTCACTGGTTGAAGACTCATTTGCGCATAGATTTCATCTGTATCTTTGTCTGCCTATTAAACCAAGAAAAAGAAGAGTCACATGATAGGAGTTGTAGAATTGTAGGTGTAACAAACATAATGTGGTAAACCAAAACTTACATGTAAAGTAACATTGTGAACTTGACACAATAACTGAGGTGGAAGGTTCGGGTAGTTGGGAATTTGAGAGGTTGCAGTTCTTTTCATGGAAACAGCCACCTGCTTAAACAGGTTAAACCAATTTATTATGATTTATATCCACAGGTCCAAACCAAAAACAAAAAATCAATATCACTGAGAGGCCATTACATATTTTTAGCATCTTTACTTAATATTTAAGATGCAAAAGCAGCATTATAATTTATGAGAAGAAAGCATCTGAAGCTATGTATACCAAACTGTAATTCAACAACCTTCAAACAAGCCAACAAGAAAGATGCATCAGGTAAATGTTCATGTAAAATTCAGACAACTGAATATATGTCATTTTACTCTCAGCTGTCATCACAATGGAAGGGGCCTATGATGAAAACTCCGCTGGCACTTGCCAAAATTCCAGAGAGTTAACAAAGTAAGTTGGATTATCAAGCCTCTGGCCTCAGTTTGCTAAAATTTGATTGTTCACAAAGTTAATTGCAGGGAATTTTATTTCCCCAAGATCAACATAATGTCCATCTCCGTGTGCTACTTGCATGTCATCATAAAATAAGCATAGACCATGACTTATTGGAAAGAAGATGGAGAAAAAGAAGAAAACAATAATTAAAGAGCTGAAGAGTTAGATAATTTTTCTCCTACGGGAAGTAAAAATTAAGTATAAGGCATAAATGCAAACCTGTTCACTATGTCCCTGAGGGAAATAATACACAAAACCCCCCACTTGAGGCAAGGAAACAAGTGGACCTGCACAAGCATGCCATAACTCGGAATTTATAGCCTTCCGGGTCCCTGAGATCAGCAAGCGTAATCTTGATAAGAAACACTTATGAGTTATGACAGGCTTCTTAGAGAACAGACACCATGCAGAAGAGTAAATGCAGGAACTTTAACATATGTAAAAAGCTTCCAATTTGAGCTCACGTAAAGAAGATTCAAACTTTAACATTTCATATCAAATTATCAGCAACGAAAAACTTACGAACTAAAGAAAGCATACATTTTAAGGCGGCACTAAACTCGCAATACTTAAAATGGAGAGTGAACACAACCAATTCTACTTGACAATACAGTCTTAAAATGCCACTTGATGCATAAACACGTCTAATAGTAGGAAAACCATGCATTTAGATAGAAGTATGTTAAACGATCTACCTTGAACGAATCAAATTGAGAAAAAAAAATTTCAGGTAAAGGAAGCCAACCAGATTGGTCTTGCATTTCTTTCAACAACTTCATCTGCTCAAGCAAGGTTGCCTGAGCCACACTAACCGACCCTGCTGCCATTTTGATCTTTCCTTCAACAGCAGCAGAACCCATCATACGGTGCTCAAATCAACCTCTCTTTGCTCCAACCAGGAGAACTCAGCAGAAAGACCAAATCTTCACGCTTTCAGATCAAAGTACAAACCCAATTGTAAAATCTGCTCACCAATCCAAGGAGAAAATGCATCAAATTTGCATTTTCTCATGGTCAAATAAGGACCCACATCAGCAAATCACATGACTTCGTCTTCCTAAAGGAATAGAAACTACTATTAAGGAATGGAATGAAGAACACAAAGAACAAATCCAATTGGTCACAAAAGAGAAGCAATTCCTCCAGAGAAAGTCCAGAAACAAAACCTGCAAAGAAAAGGGTACAACGATGGAAGGTCTTTTCTAAGTGTGACTTTTGGCGTACCCAAAAAAACCCCATGAAAGCACGCCAACCAAAGCATTGAGTGGGACTCCCTCCTTGGCCATTAGCTCCCAAAAGAAATAGACCTTTCAATGAACCCCACTTCCATCATCACTCTGGTTCAATTATCAAAATACCAAAAAAAAAAATAATAATAATAATAATGCTTCCCTTCTCTCCCCCTAGTCCCTACAAAGGAACTATTGAATTATTCCTCTTATTTCTTGAAACTGGGAAGAGAATCCATGCTTTTATCCTGCACTGCTTCACGTACACTTTCTGAATATGGACGATTCCGTTACAGCTATAAACTGTGAAGGAATTACAAAAAATAGGAAAGTGAAAAAATAAATAAATAAATAATGAAAAAAACCAGAGCAAGACTAGGAGAACACGAAAACAGTACAAAGAGATTCTATTTCAAAAAAAAAAAATTTTTTAAAAAGAAAAAAAATAGGGAAGAAAGGAGGGAGCTTTTAGCTTTAAGACAAAACAGAATGCCAAGGTGGCGCATTTTAGCACGTGGATTACGGGTATTTGCCGAATCTCTCTTCTTTTTTTTTTTTCTTTTTGAAGTTTGAACGATCTACGAGTTGGGAAGGGGGAATTTTTTTAAAAGTGATTTCACGTAAATAAAAAAAAGTAATTATTTAAATAATATATTAAATTATATAAAAAATAAAAAAAATTATCTTAAAATTATTTTTTTAATTATTTTTTAATATATTAATAAAAATCAAAATCTTCTATCAACAAATTTAAATAATTTAAAATTTAAAAATAAATCACTTTATCCAAAATCAGGTTTTATTAGTATTTTATTTAGGTGACCCTGGATAAAAATATACTTTTCACTATTTTTTTTTGTTTTTAAGTGTAATTATGATATTGGCTATTTAAGTAATTTAATAATAATTATTTTTGTTAAAAGTAAAAGATTTTAAGTTTAAATTTCATGATATGTAGATAAAGTAAAATAAAAAAAATTATTTTTTATTATGCAATCAATTATTAAAAAAAGTGTGATTATGATTATCAAATACAATAAAATTATTATCATCAATTTAAGTAATTTAGTGATTAATTTCATTCGTCAAAAGTAAAAGATTTTAAATTCGAATTATATGAGATATGAGTGAGGTGAGATAAAAGTTAAAAAATAATTGCTACAACCAAAATAAAAATTAAAATTAAAATTATTAAGGCCGATAAATTTGTATATATTTGTAACTTTTAAAAAGTAAAGGTTATAATTTTTTTAAAATATTAATTTATAAATACCATTTATTTTATTATTATTTTAACTGTTGTTAACAAAATTTGACCGTCACGCGTGCAGTTCACGACAAATTTAAGGGAGAGAGAGGCGCAAGTTTACTCAGGCTGACATGTACTGCCATCTTGTCTCCGCCATCCCGGCGGCCGGAGCCGTTTCACTATTTTTACCTCTGAAAAATGTGTACACAACGGGAGACTGTTATTTTTGGAAGATATTAACAAATATTTTTTAAAAGAAAATATTGTGCAACCTAAATATTTCTTAAAAGAAACTCCATTTTTTCAAGATATTCAATTTTTTTTTTTTCTGTTGATATATCATAAACCTAACATTTTTATTAGGGGTGGGCATGGCCCGGCTTGGCTACAACAGAAACTAAATTTTTGGTTTTTAGATTTTTACAACCATTTTTCAAACTGAATAGAATGGATTTAATCGGATTTCGTTGTAATTTTATAAATAACCATTTGAATCGATTTTAATTCTAACAGAAAAATTATTTTTTTATATTTTTAATAATTTTTTAAATTTTAATTATTATTTTATTAATTTTAATCACTAAAAAATTAAAAATTATTTAAATGGATAAATAATTTAGCAAAAAGTTGTTAAAAAACCTTTTTAAAAAAATATAAAAATCATTAAAATTTTATATAAAAGGTTTTTGAGAGAAAATTTTCAATTATATTTACTTTAATCATCAATTTTTTAATTTTTTTAATTTAATAATCAAAATCCAAATTATTTAAAATTAGTTCAATTTAATTTTTAATCAAGTAAATACAACACCCAATTAAACCCTGTCCATCAATTATAGTTTTATTAATTTTTAGATTATTTTTTTGATTGCCAATTTTTCATCCCCTCTACATTTTATATTTGTCAACAGTAGACCTACCTTACTATATCCCAAATCCCAATTAATGCTTCTCAAGTATCACTAATCTATGTGTAAAAGAAATTATATTCTTTTAATTTATATTATATAATTTAAAATTAATATAATTATAATTTTACATAATATTATATATATGACTTTTTTATTTAAAAATCTATAAATAATATCATAATAGGTTAAATACCCTTTTTGGTCCTTCTACTATAGGAAAAAGCCATTTTTTGGTCAATATACCAAAAAAATCTCTTTTTTGATCTCTAAATTTTAAAATCTGGCCCTTTTTTAGTCATTCCGTTAATTTTTGTTCACGTGTCACGTCAATTTAACTGGAACGGCTGATGTGGATATGCCAACATGTCAAAGATGCTTACATGGACTTAATGACACCCTCCATGTCACCCTCTTTCGCGCAGAAAATTAAAAAAAAAAAAAAGTTAAATACTAAATTTGATTTCTCAACTTTATAAGTTTGCACTTTTTTGTCTTAAATTATTTTTTTTCATTTTTTTATCTTTTAACTCTAAATATTACTCAATTTTAATCCTTCCATCAGTTAAATATGACGTGATAGTTAAATAATTTCATTTGACATTTTTCTTTAATTTTTTTTATGACATGACAATTATATATATATTATAGTTATGTTATATAGATAAATAAAAATATCACATAGATAAATATTTATATTTTAATTAAAAAAATAAAATCACATTATTACCCTCCCCTCTTAATCCCTCTTCTTCCCCTTCTTTCTTTCTCTTTCTTTCTTTCCTACCCAAATCGGCTGAGTTCGTCGAAACCCAGCTACTGGTGGACCCATAAAAGGTTAAATGCTATGACGTTGAGAGTTCATATTCTCACAAATTAAACTCACTAAAACCTGCAAAAAAACTATGAACCCTAGAATGCTCCAGAGCAAAATTTGAGTTCTCTATCATCGAACCCAGTTACTAGTTTCATTAAAGCCACTGAGTTCATCAAGCCAATAGATCTTACCAAATCAAATTAACCCTTCAATAAACAAATGCAATCAAACTCTAATCCAATTCCAACAAAAATACAATCAAATTGTAAATCAACTCTCAAATTTATCAAGAACCGAAAATGAAAATCAAAACAAGAATGAAAAAACATGAACCTAATGTTGAAACCCAGCAAGGCTGGGTTTCAATGAAACCAGCAAGCGTGACTAGCATGGCTGGGTTGGTTGAAACCCAGCCTTGCTGGTCGTGCAACCAGCAAGGTTGGGTTTGCGCAACCAGCAAGGTTGGGTTTACGCGACCAGCAAGGTTGGGTTTACGCGACCAGCAAGGTTGGGTTTACGCGACCAGCAAGGTTAGGTTCGTTGAAACCCAACCTTGCTGGTCACGCAAAACCCAGCAACTGGGTTTCGACGAACCCAGCAAGGCTGGGTTTGAACGACTAGCAAAGCTGGGTTCGACGGAACCCAGCAGATCTGGGTTTCGTCGAACCCAGCTACCTAGCTCATCGGAACCCAGCTACCCAACTCATTAGAACCCAGCCACCCAGCTCATTAGAACCCAGCCGATCTGGGTAAGAAAAAAAGAAAGAAGGGGAAGAAGAGGGATCTGGGTAGGAAAGAAGAAAAGAGAAAGAAAAGAGAAAGAAAGAAGAGGGATTAGGAGATGAGGGTAGTGTTGTAATTTTATTTTTTAATTAAAATATAAATATTTATTTACGTGACATTTTTATTTATCTATATACTATAAATATAATATATATAATTACCATGTCATCAAAAAAAATAAAAAGAAAATGTCAAATGAAATTATTTAATTGTCACGTTATATTTAACCGATGGAAGAATTAAAATTATGTAATTTTTAGAATTAAAAGATAAAAAAATGAAAAAAAATAATTTAAGACAAAAAAAGTGCAAATTTATAAAGTTGAGGAATCAAATTTAGTATTTAACTTTTTTTTTTTTAATTTTCCACATGAGAAAAGGTGACATGGAGGGTGTCATTAAATCCATGTAAGCATCTTTGACATGTTGGCATATCCACATCAGCCGTTCCAGTTAAGTTAACATGCCACGTAAGCAAAAATTAACGGAAGGACCAAAAATAAGCTGAATTTTAAAATTTAAGGATCAAAAAGGAGATTTTTTCGGTATAAAGACCAAAAATGAGCTTTTTCCTATAATAAAGGGACCAAAAAAAATATTTAACCAAAAAAATCAATTAATATAATATATTAAAAGTTAAACTACACAATAATTTTTTTTATCTTAACAAATTATATTTAAAGCGAAAGGATTCGAATCCAATTCTTAAATTAAAAAATAAACTTTCAATAAAACATAGAATAGAAGCCTCGGTCACGAGAGAGTTAGGTGGGACTGTATGTTTAGTAGAAAGAAGAAAAAAAAAATCATATAAAGAGTGAGTGAGATCACATCACACCCTTTCTCTGTGGTTCACACTTCATACGTATGCTCCCACTCCTCGGTATGCGAACAAAACCCCTTTTCATATGATCCACGTGCACCGATGTGGATGAGGATGCGATCTGGCGGTCCTGATTTGACACAGAAATCGGTGGCACGCGGGGACAGAGTGCAAATCCTGCACGCTCCCACCGATGGTCTTTGGAACTTAAACTCGCCGCAATCTCAGCTAACATAAAACTCCCCAGTTCACATCCTTCGTTTTTACTGCACGTGTCAACCATGCATTTAATCTTATCTATGATTATCAGTTGAATTGATCTTTCATCACCACCGTTCCTTTCTTTATACATTTAGTGATTTAGGTTTTTTTTTTTTTTTTTTCAAAGATTGTAATCTTGAGGGAGGGGAACTCGAAGAGGAGAAATTGGAATCTCAACTATAAAATTAAAGAGATATACCTTACATATAAGGTATATGGACATGGGGCACATACCCCAGATGAACATTTAGGTACATTTTTTATTTCATGAGAATGCTATTTTGCTGACCCTGCGGCTTTATGTACCAACTGTATTTTTTAATTATTATTATAGTGAAGGGGTGAGTCCCTAATGTTAAGTCTCTCCATGAATAATTTAAAAAAGTAAAATTCGTACAACATGGATAGTAGATTTTTTTTAAAATGTTTTATGAAATGAATATTTTTTTAATAATGTTAGATGCACCGATAAATATCATATTATAATTAAGGATTAGTATTTATTCATCTTATTTTTTTAAAATTAAGAGAAAAATTATTTTAAAATTATGTAATTTTAATAAAATACTACAAAAAATGATAAAAAAAAACTTTAATTCATACTTTAAAAATAAGATATTTTAGTTTTTTCAATAAAAATTTATTAAAACGATATAGTTTTAAGATAATTTTTCTCTTAATCTTTAAGAAGTAAGTCAGATAAGTACTATTCCCTTATAATTAATTCAATTTTAGAATAAAGTTTTAACGCCAATATCAAATTAATATAAAAATGTGATCTTAAAATTATTAATTGAGAGATGACTCCCAGAATCAAAGTAACAAAATCAAAAAAAATAAAATTATACAAGATTCAAAAATTACAATTCAAATTAATATCAAATTTCACAATAATAAAGTAATAATTTCAATTTTATAATCACAATAATTTAGATTGCAAAACTACGAGATTCAATGTATACACCTGATAGTATGACAAAGGAAATGAGGCCACCAATATGATAAAGTGACTTACCCACCCACTCACTTACTTTAAAGCCAAGTGACAAAACAAGGTCAAGATAAGGTTCATTAAGATTGTAAGTCTGAGTAATAAAATGGGAAATGTGGAGATCTTAAAGAGTAATTAATGGGACCCATTTAAGTGTCACGAACATGTAAATTGAAGTCCATTGATTGTTGATGGGTACAACCTGATGGATGAGGCTTTTGCCTTTCCTTTGACACGAAGTGGAAAGTGATGGCGTGCAAAGTTACCGAAAAAGGGAAAGCGAGATTCGTCATAACTCATTGCCAATTTCTTCATTATTAATTTGGACAATGCGTAATCATTTTCCATGTTTATAGTAAAAATAAAAAGAAAAGAGCAATCATCATTTGATTCATTTCATGCCCCATTGTTGAATTTAGAATTCCTTTGAATCATTCACCTACATAAGACAAGCAAAATGAATAAAATCACCTATCAAAATAAAGTTTATACAATCAATAACTAATTGTTTAGTCAATAAAGAGATTTACTTTTTATTTTATTAAAAAATATTTTATAATATAAATTATATATTAAAAATGTAGTTTTGTTTATGTATTTATTAAAATATATTTAATAAAATAACAAAATAAATAGTTCTAATAAATGTCTTTTAGTAAATTTATAAATCGAATTGTACTTTTAATTAACATATAATTTACCTTATAAAACATGAATTCTTTTTTTTTTTTATTGAGTAAATTAATAAAAAGATAATTTTGGATAATTTCTCATGAATTCATTAATTTTATAGTGAATGATTTATTTTTGATCAAATCATCAAGAGTTAATTTTAAAATATGCACAAAATAATTTAAAAACTATCTAAGTATTAAATCAATAAATAGTGCATGCAATGCATTTGATCACATTAGTGTTAGGGGGACATCTTGCCTAAGAAGGAAAGATATTTGGTGATCCATCACATATTTTGACAAGTTATTGTAATTAAAAAACTTGTCAAATAATTTTATGAGTCTTGATATATTTAAATTACTCATCACTTTCATATTTTTTCGACACAGGATTCCTATTCTTTCACGCTTATAAGGGAATAATATACTTCAATACTCCCCTTTTAACTTGTGAGTTATTAAAGGCTCATGTGAGAGGATTTTATATATATATATATATAATTAACATATATACGTGATTTAATTTTTGACAGATATACATAGTCTATGGATATACTCATCATGGATTTACATAACATATACTCCCATTTTGCTAAGCTCAACCTAAAATCAAAATATCACTAGTTGTAGTTATAGTCGTTGACTTTTATACTAATTTGATGATGTAAAGATAAAACTTAAGTGAAAAAGAACATGAAATTAACATAAGCTCAATAATTAAACTTGAAAAATGATGAAATTCATGAAGATCATGAAATACATGAATAGCATTATGATGTATGAGCGAAAATAGTAATAGACATACATCAAATTTCTAAGAAAATAGTAACTTATATATGACAATTGATAAACATAAATAAGTAACTATAAAATAAACTACTACACCACCGAGCGTGAATCACAAATTGGCATAAAGATGACTGAACTCATAACTATCATAACAAACTTAAAAGACTTGGTCTCATATACTTCAACAATTAGAATAATAACAAGTTGAGGAAAGTAACTTTTATAGATCAAATTAATCCATGAAATATTAGTTGAAATATGCCATTTTGAGTACAATTTCATTTTAAAAATGCAATTTTTATTAGAGAGAGAGTGGGGGGTGGGGTGCAAAATTGACTTTGAAATTGATACAAATTGGGGTGATTTATGGTGAATTGGATAAAAATGATGATGAGAGTGGATTTAGGTGGTTAGATTGGGGTGAAAGAGTCCGGTGAAAGTGTAGGTGCTTTACAGGACAAACAAATAATTGAGATGATTATGAAGATTACAACTTTTAAAAATTAAGACAACTTTTAAAAATTAACAGAAATTATACATAATTCAAGAAGTTTTTCCAAGAAAACATTGTATTTAATATAATTATAAAAAAATTTTATTTTACAACCTAAACTATAAAAGATAAATTATTAAATAAAAAAGTTCACTTATAACATAAAAATTTTATTTTTTATTAATAATTTTTTTAAACATTATGGGTAAAAATTAAATCACACACATTTAAAATTACATAAAAAATCTTTAATAAAAAAAAAATACTCACTACACCACTAAAATGTTCTTTATTAATAATTTAAATTATCCAGTCTCTTAAAATTTAAATTCAATTACACTCTCTTTTTTTTTTTTTTAAATAACAAAAATTCATCCAAAAACACAATAATTAACTGTGCAGTGGAATGTAGGGTGTGGGGTCCACAAGTGATAATTGAGAGTGAAATGAAAGAACCTAAAAATAGGCGTGGGATAGGGGGAACATTGAAGCAGTGTAAGCTGTAGGGATGCAAGGGGACATCTCCTTCTGAATTTTCAGAGTAGAAGGAACACCCATTTGTTTTTACCCCCCTTTTTTCTTCTGTTTTTTTTTCTCCTCCTTTTTGGGGTTTTGTTAAAAAGACAATGATTCATGGATCTCCACTCGGCTTTTATTTTATTGAGTGGACCGAGGCTCAAGGATGTTTCGTGGGCTTTTTTATTCAGATGGAAAAAGTGTCTCTTTCCATTTTGTGATTCTGAATTTTCTTCTTTGCTCTGCTGATTGTGCCATACAGCAATTGGATGTTATAAAAAAGAGCAGAGGTTTTTTAAGCTTTATGGGGCTTTGAAGAGTTGGAAGGGAGGTGGTGTTTGACCTGATGCAAAAAAGAAGGCATGCCCTTTGGCTCTACTCAATTGTTGGTCCATAAATTTTTGCTTGTACTTTAGGGAAGCCAAGGCATGCATTATTGTGTGCAATCTAGTATCCATCAAATAATTAAGGGGCAGATTGAGATTTGTTTACTCAAGTTGCAAGTCTTTTGTCCCTATTTGCCTTACTCTTTTTACATTGATCAAAAAATGCTTGCATTTGGGGCCGACTGTTTAATTTCTCTTAGCTAATACATAGTCATGTAAATCCAACCATGGTAGATGCCACTAACCCTAAAAAAAAAAATGTCTAACTTGTGCTTTAATAAGGATGCATTAATTATATTTTTTATCTATTAATTTATTTGAGAACACAAAGAAGTTGGTTTCATTTTTGTGAGATAAAGGCTTATAGAGTAATTGATTAAATTATTAGCATAAATGCACTTCCTTACTTGTATGGTTAAGGTTTGGACCTGGCCCAAAAGGTGCACATACGGTCCATCAAGTGGAAATTTGATATGGATATTGGAAGAAGGAAATGGGCCCAAAAGGTACGCATATGATCCATCTAGTGGAAATTTGATATGGATATTGGAAGAAGAAAATGGGCCCAAGGGAACGTAATATCTAATATGGTCCAGTTGGTCTGATATTGGATCCAGTTAGCATTTACGAACTAAAGCCCATAAGCCCAGATATCTAATTGAGGGTTTTTCTGTCCCTTGAAAAACCCTAGTTGCAGAGCGGCTGAAAATTGTACTCTCAATTTTGGTCAGCAATGGAGGGTTTGAAGGTAGCCGAAGCTAATTTGACAGTATACGTGCATCCATCGAAGAGCAACCGTGTTCCGGAGGCCATACTCCGGGAACTCAGTCATCATCTCTTCAAGTAAGTTTCCCCATCCATGTGACCCTGAATTTTATTCTGCTTATACTGTTTTGCTACTTTATTTGAAGAGCTAAAAAACCACCCTTCATTTTTGTTGATTTTACGTCATGATTTCGATTTTGCATTTGGGTTTTTTGTGTGAAAGAAGTACTGACTTAGCACGCAGTAAAGTTGCTTATGATGCTCTGCAATTGTTTGATTCTTTGGTTCTGTTCCGACAGTTGTGATTTTGTAGATTATAATTTTGGACACTTGGTGTCATTGTGTTGAAAGCGAAGTGTTGTGTGGATATTTGCTGTTCTTTATGCTGTCTGTCATAATGTATGCTCTTTGCTTCCTGTTTCAGGTTCAATGAGTCTTTTGATGGTGTCTTATTGGCTTATGGTATTAATGGTCTGGATCAAAATGCAAAAATTCTTCCTGGGGTTCATCCTTATTTTGCTGTGAAACTGAAGGCAGACCTCTTGCTTTTTTATCCAAAGCCAGATATGCTATTAGGTATAGTATGAGTATCGTTCTGCCTTTTACTTCCAGAGTCATTTTAACATCGACATCCTTTCTGTTGTTCCTAGTTAAGAGGTTGTGAAATTATCTATATATATATTTTTAATTTTTTTCCTTTTGGGGGTTTCAGAAGGAAAAGTAGTAAAACTTACTCAGGAATCCATTCATGTCATTGTTCTTGGTTTTTCTGCTGCCATTATAACAGCTGAAAACATCCGTCATGAATTTAAATACAAAACCGTGAGTCCCACTTTTATACATTGTTGAAGTTGTATAAATTTGAAGTCTTTTTATGTTTTATTTTGTTGGAACACTGCTTTCATTTCCTCATTTACTGACATAAGTTGTTTCTGTTGTCATAGAAACGTGGTGAAGAACAATTCGTTAGCAGATCTCACAAGCGACATGTCATAAAGGCTGGAGCTGTAATACGTTTTATAGTCAAGAGGTGACAATTCATTTAATAGGCATTTTTATTGTAGTATATCTCCTTCAATAATGCAACTAAAAAATGCCTGATTATTTATTCATCCTATTCTCATTGATGCACCGAACTCTTTATGAGGTCATCATGCATTGCACTAAGCCTCTAATGTTTCTTGTTGACATTAGTCTTGAAATCTTATCCTTATCCTCTGGGTGTTGCAATGAGATAGGAGGAGACTAGAGAATAGTTTGAGAAGATTGTGTTTGACAAGGAATCCTTTCTTCTAATCCTTTTCAGTTTTGATGAGGAAATACTTCACATTTTTGGATCTCTGATTCCAACCCACACAGGAAGCATTCACTGGTTGGATAGAAAGTCAGAAGATGTTTCTGTACATGATAGGTATATTGATTTGAATTTGAAGTCTTGGAATGTTGAAGATTTATTTATTTGTGAATATTTAACTCAAAATAATTTTAATCTAAACAGTTCCAATTACAATTTTGCAACCCTGCAGTAGCACGAAAAAGAGAAAAGATAAGGATGATGGACAGTTTCCAGAGCATGGAGGCAAAGAAGCATTCTCCCCTAGTGATCACAGCAATGTTAAAAAATCAAAGAAACATAGAATCAAAAATCAATAAGCTTTGCTTTCGGATTCTAATTATTTATGTCCTTTTATGTTCAGGTAATGTATATATCGCATTTTTATGTTCTCCATATTAATTTCTCTCATAAAAAAGTATAACTTTAATATGTATGAATCTTGCTGGTTTTATCATTTTGTATGTATAATTCAGTAATTGCAATTTCTTGGCTACTGCAGCTGGCACAAACCTCTTGGAAAGAACGTTCACATATACAAAGAGGAAGGAAGAGGGCAAATTGCTTCCCATTCTGAAAGAATGATTTCTGATTTCTTTGTAGGAGACTCATGTTTCAGAATCACGTTCGGCTCTTCACCTTTTAAGTGAAAGCATGGACTTTACCTTCTTCCGGGAAGACAAGACTAAAAGCTGTCTGTAGTTTGTTGTCTGGTATACTTGGCCTTATCAATACATATGCTTTGTCCAGAGCTAAATGCTGTTGATACACAATCGCAACAATTATGTGAGCTTTTGTAACTGACTGGAATTCAAATATATATATCTAATGCTAGAAGATTTTCAGGGTAACCTTCTGTCTCAACAAAGGCTAGCTTTTCTTTTCTTTGGTCTGTGAATGTTGGTCGTTTTGTGCTCTAGGTGAACGTCTAAATGGGCTAAAATGCTCCATGAGAAATGGCTCAAAAGGCCTTTTTACCTAGAACACGATCATCAATCACAGATTGACACAGTAACACATTGCTGAGAAATTTAGTTACAGGTGGATAGAAAGTCTTGATCATCAAAATCTGTACAGTACCCTACAGTATCATGATCTCGAGTTGAATTCTTTATAATATCTCCATGGCAACTCATTCTGTGCAAATCAACAGCTAGCCGGAAACACGTGTTGATGGTGTCTAGCCTCTGCACCTCAGATTCTGCAAATCTGATTTGTTTATGCCATGGACAAGGTGGAAGGCATCTGATATTTGGTTTAACCAATCATTTAAATGGTGGTAGTAGATTTTGGGAGGAGACTACGTACATTCCATTTGCTCCCCATAAACACCTAGACACCTACCATATTGAATTGAAACGATTCAATCATGACCTTTTCACCATATTATTATCAGCTGGTATGGGGTTTTCTTTCAAAAACACACCCATATATTCTCCCTGCCCAGGGGACCCAATTGTTAAAATCATAAGTACTTTTGGACGAGTTGGGAGAAGACGGGATTTCAGGTTGGTAGATGATTCCCATTTTTTTTTTCGTTAAGCTCTCTCTCTCTCTCCCCCATGTGGGTCTTCTATTATTTTAACCACATGAAAATAAAGATGATTATTCATTTTTTTTTTTATAATTAGGGTTCCTAACATGCTCTTGATCAATGTGATTAAGAAAAGAATTTGGTTGGTTCTAATATTGGGTACTTAAATCCTTTTTCGATGACATCAAACATGTGTGTTAAGAAAAGGACATGAAGGGGCTCAACTTCAAATCTTGGTTTGGTTTACCTTTCATTAATATCTATTAATATCTAAGAACTATAAACTTTTCTATGTTCATGTTCTTTTGAATGAATCTTCTTCAAATATATATATTATATAAGGGGTTAATAGAAATTAATGCCTGGTTGTTATATGTTTATTTAACCCTCTAATAAAGCTTTGGTCCTACTAACTTCAAAAGCTACCAAGTATACCCAAGAAACCGGGCAAAGGAGATGAATTCAAGACATTGATGCAGAGATAACATGTGCTACACCATTTAATTGTACTAGGAATACGAATTAATGCTCAATGTATTAAACACATGAAACGCTGGATTTAACCATACAACACATGGTGAGCCCAATTGAAAACACCTTTTTCCTGTTTTTTTTTTTTTCTTAAGAATAAAATAAATATTTAGATCTTTAATTTGATTAATTCAGTAAATGTTTACAAACAGCCCACTTCGACTCAAGATATTGAAACCTGGGTTAATATTGTTCACCTTTGATGGGTTGCACGTTCAAACCCTATAAAAACCCTTTTTCACATCCCCAATTAACTTATAAATAATTGCAATTCAAAAAAAATTCAGTAAATGTTTACAAACTGTCAAAATGCACAAATACCATGTAATGGTTCACATATATAGCTTATAGGTACCATGATCTATCTAATCTTCATACATAGAGAAGGTGAAGAAATCATGTCAATCATTTCATTACTGTTTGTAGAATTATGAGGAGTTTAGTTGGAGTAATTTTGTTGTCTAATGGCGTCAAAGGAGCACTAAATCTATGATCATTATAGTTGTTAATTAAACTTCCATCATACAATAATACTTGTATTGATTTTAGTTTGCGAAAAGAGAGAACCCAGTTATGCTTTCGGTCTTTGGTGCTTCTTCGTGTACAGCTACCGCCATAATATTGATTTGATTTGATTAGATGACGGAAAATGATTTAGAAATAATTTTTTTTTATTTTTTTAATATAATTTTACATATTATTTAAATAATTAATTTTATTTATTTATTTAAGATTTATGATATTAAATATATTTACTTATTTGATAATATGTGAAAATTATACAAAAAAATTATTCATATATCACTGCTTTTAGATAATTGTGTTAAGCCAACTACTTAAATAATTTAGTGGTCATTTTCTTTCACTAAAAGTAAAATATCTTAAATTCGATTCACATAACATGTGAATGAAGTGAGATAAAGAATGAAAAATAATTGTTTTCAATTATACAACTAAAAAAAAAATGAAAAAAAAGAGAGGAGAGATAATTGCGCTGACGAGCACGCAACATATAATTATATGTTCCTTGATTAGTTAATAAGAAAAACAGAGCAAAATTTGAGAAATTAACTTTCCTTTTTGAAAACTTACACTACTAGCTAGTATTACTTCATTCCCCACCGTCCACACATTTTTATGGTCTTAAATTAAGTCGAAACTAGGAGCGAGTGGTATTTGCAAATTGTCAAAGTTTGGACCGTAAAATAAAAATGAGGAAAGCTATGATTCTTAATTAGGATGTTAAAACCTACCCAAACGGAACCCATAAAGGAGGGTGTTCTTTCCTTTAATTTCTTTTGATATAAGGATACTGTTATTCCTTGAACATTCGTTTTCATCTCCACATCATGTTATTGTTGTGTTTCGATTATAAAATTAAATAAAATAATAATTAATGAACTTATTAAAAAATATCAATAAAAAATTATCATTCAAATAGGCGTGAAAAATATATTTATTTTAAAGCAATTCACATATCTACTGAGAGTAGATCGATTGGTACAATAAAGATATAAACAGCATATCACCCCATGATGCTACAGTTTTATAATAACATTTTATAAATTTGCATTACTCATAGAGATACCTAATTTAAAACACTTTACTCTAGAAGATAAAGTAGAGTAAGAAGATAAAAGAATGTGGAGGAACTTTCTTAGTTGAGCAAAAAGACATGTTCTATTTATAAGACTCATGGTCATAAAAGTCCCATTTGTAAGTTAATTATACTAATAAATTGGGTAATTATTATGAAATAATATACCTTTAAATAGAACAATTAACTTACAACAACTAGTTTGATCAAGTCTTTAATAAGATAATAAGTTTAATTTATAAAATATATTATTTTATTTTTATTAAAATATTTAAGTTCCAACAATTCCTCCACTATTTTAATAAAAAATAAACCTTTCTCTTAGGTAAAGATGGATTATTATGCATAATAAAAGTAGCTAAACCTTGAACATTTATTTAGTGAGTCAACAATTTTTAATCCAAAGTCAATAATGAACTAAATCTTTGACTATGACCTCATTAGAAGATATAAGAATTATATCACATACATAATAATCCGAATGTTGAGTTTTTCACATAGCAAGCACATTATGACTTTGTGCATGATCTTAGTTTTCATGGATGATCTAGAAAATTACCCATTCAATTTTCATAGAAGTGGCTTCATTTCAACACCTACATAAGTGAAATTTGTCAAGGATGCTCCCATAACTAAAACACCCCACTCATTAAGCTACAAATTTTATTAAGAGTATAAAACTCAAGCCTCAATTTGTTATGGAATATATGTATCCTCACCTCAAGAATGAGATTGAAAATTTCTTTTGCTAAATATTGATGTATCTTTCAATAACGACTTCTTTATGATTTATTTTTCCCATTCAAAACCCAATTCTTAGAATTTGGATTAGGTATCCTCATATGATGTTTTACATTATTGGGCTTGAATCCCATTCCCCTCGATGAGCACTAGACTTTGGACTATAACATAGTTTTTCCTCAAACTCTTGTTTTTACCAAAGGCTTAGTTGGTGGTAAAGTGGGTAATGAAAAGATTTAACTTATTCTTTTTCTCACTTTTTCTTTTGGCAACAACCCACCTCTACTAGCTCATAAAATTCACTTTCATGTTTCTTAAGTTCACAATTCATGGTACCACAATTTATTATCTTGAGCTAGAGAATCACTTTTTTTTTTTTTGTTTTTTATACATGTAGAGACATATATTTAAGAATTTTTTAACTCAAACACCATTGTATCTTATTATACAATAGAAATGTCCATGGCATACCCCTTTTTTCAATTGCCGTATCATATTTTTTCATCATACACCATTATATCATAATTGTATAACAAGAATCCATATTACGTTTGCTTGTTAAGCACTATACCTTATTATATAATAGAAATGCTATGCAAAACTTCAATTAGGCTTCATTGGTCTTATCACCAATAACAATACATAGGGATATCATAATAATCCCCCACATTGGGAGCATCAGCTTAAAATTGTTGTTCGTTGAACATTCTTCTCCATCTTTGCATCATGCCATTGCTGTGCCTCGATCATAAAATCAAATAAAATAATAATTAATGAATTTATTAAAAAATATTAATAAAAAATTATCATCTAAATAGGTGTGACAAGCTAATTTACTTTAAATAAGCTTTTCACAAATAAACTTTTCACGCCTCTATGAAAAGTAGATCGACTGATGCAACATAAATATATATAGCATGTCGCCCGTAAAATGCTACAGTTTAATAATAACACTCTATAAATCTGTATTATTCATAAAGTTATTTAATTCAAAACACCCTCTTTTGCTCAAGAAGATAGAGTAGAGTAAAAAGGTAGAAAAATGTGGAGGAACTTCCTTAGTTGAGCAAAAAGTTATGTCTTATTTATAAGACTCATGATCATAAAATTCTCATTTGTAGGTTAATAATAATAATAAATTGAACAATTATTATGAAATAATATACCCTTAAATATGATAATTAACCTACAACAGTTAATTTGATTAAGTCCTTAATAGAAAATAAATTTAATTTATAAAATATATTATTTTATTTTTATTGAAATATTTAAGTTTCAATCAATACCGATATAAGTACTCTTCAATTCATTACATTTTATAATACATTTATTTAAAAATTATTAATGTCAAATTAAAATTAAAGACAAAAACTTTTAAAACTAAAAATTTTAATAATTGGATTGATGGACTGTTAGCTATTGTATTAAATT